TAGGGTTTCGGTTTAGGGTTTCGGGTGTTGTTTTGAGCGCCCTTTTCCGTCAGCACCGTAGTAGGGTTTAAGGTTTAGCGTATAGGGTTTAGGGTTTAGGGACCCTTTGGGTGTTTAGACAAACCTAAACCCCAAACCCTAAAGTATAGGGTTTAGAGTTTGGGCTTTGGGCTGTGGATTTTGGCGTCGTGGCGCCTCAAAAGCTTGGAGCTCCCGGAAGTTTTAAGGCTTTAGGGTTGAGGATGCAAGGTCAGGTTGGGGGATTCGATGGTTTATGGTGTATGGGCCTCAAAGAAACAGGAGCCTTAACAATGAGAATAAGGGTTTGGTGGACCTTATACAAGGAAAGAGTCAGAAGCCTCCCTGGTAACTAGTCTGTGTTGCAAGGGCTCATAAGATCTCTGGTCGATTCTGTAGTGCACCATAAAGGTCTCTATGAAATTGAGGCTTCCACTATGCCTGTCTTCGGCTGACGGACAAACCCCATACCGACTGTAGAGGCACGATGATTGAACCCACTAGACCCAAGAGTCGCCCCTATCTTCCAGCTGTCAAAAACACCCTTAAGCTCTAAAACATCTTATAAACCCTAAACCCTAAACCTTAAACCATAAACCTCAAACATCTCATAAACCCTAAACCCTAAACCCTAAACCTTAAACCCTAAACCCTAAACCCTAAACCTTGAACGCTAAACCCTAATCCACTGGGACGCTGAGACCCTAAGCGGAGGATCAAGGCGCAGCTGTCTGCCAGCACCAGGGTATCTCCATCCTGTGGGTTTAGGGTTTAGGGTTTAGGGTTTTGGGTTTAGGGTTTAGGGTTTAGGGTTTAGGGCTGATGACATCCATCCTGATCCCAGAGACTCCAATACCCCTTAATTAAGGAATATACCTTAAATCATATTAGGGATCCTACTATAATTTAAGGTATATTCCTTAACTAAGGGGTATTGGAGTCTCTGGGATGACAGGGACACCACCATGAGCTGACGTCGTTATGGTACTGTAGGGGCTTTAATAGTTAGAAGAGGGTTTTGGGGCCCATTATACTTTACTTGTTTTATAACAAGGAACCCCCAAAACCGTATCGGTAGTTTTTATGATCCCGAAAGTAGAGCGGGTTGGGATCCGAAACCGGGAACTCGGCACCTGAACCCGACGACAATCGATTTCGAGCTTGGCCTTTCGAACTTGCTTGCTGTCTGACTCATATAGAAGCCTTAATGAGTAGAATAGGGCTTTGGGGGCATATGCTACTATGACTATAATAAGGAACCCCCAAAATAGTTTTGGTCATTATGTAGGCCCCTATATTAACCTTGAAGCTTGCAAGTGCGCACACTTGCATCTAAACTGCGAAACCATGCGACGACATCCCTGAACGGAGCGACATCCAGATGATAGCCTATTTCTATTATGCTTATCCTATTCTTAAACTAATCAAAAACCCTAAACCCTAAACCCTAAACCCCTGTTCTTATAAACTGAAAAGGGAACATCCGGATGTCCTGGAGCTCTGCATGCGTCGAGCAGACAAGGCGAACCTGCTAAAGGGAGGATTTAAATTTAGTTTAAGCTGTCAGGATGTGGGGAATACAGGGTTTGGGGTTTAGGGTTTAGGGTTTGGGGCTTAAGACTGGGATACTGCTAGTCATCACCATTTTGCCATAAGAAGCCGCACTTATAGGTCATAGGTTCAACCGATCAGAAAAGAAGCAATGCAAATTATCTTCTTTCTGGCAAGCGACAAAACCACATCAGCCTGACGCGACTCCTCCATTCCAACCCCCCATCATCATCACCATCACCATCATGCACAGCATCATTCTCAATATCATTGCCACCAACCCTTTTAATGGGGGCGCGGGGCGAGAACATGAACATTTCTCGGTTGCGCGGTCCACTGGCCAAAAGCCACAAAACCTGCGGCCAAAATCCTCAAGCGCAACATCAATCCCAGGATCAGAAGCTGCGACGCACTGAAGCCTGAAAGTCCTGTCTCCCTAACGCCTGAACCTACACTGGGCTTCGGGTGACAGGCAAAGCAGGCAAAGACGAGGAGCCCTTTCCCGCTCCACATCCAGCTGCTGTGCCACGACATCGCGAGCTTCCGCCACCGGCACCACGTCACCCAGTGGCCTTGCGACTCGGTTTAGGGTATAGGGTTTTGGTAGCCTAGGTCCCAGAATGACATCTACCATTCCCGGAACACTTACAAGAAACATTCTCAATCTTCGCAGCACGATGACTGTCACCTGTGTTGTTATTCTTTCCTGGACGGGAAAGCTGGCTAAGTTCGTTTACTCACTCATACACAAGATTACACAAGCCGAGCAACGTTAAAGCCCAAGCTAACTTACAGAGCTCGTAGATTAGATTTACTTCCGGCAGCAGCCACCGACGTCATAAGTAGTGCCTCTTCCGACACTCGAAAACACCTGAAACACCCCAAAACGAAGAAAAATATTCGCTGGCGAATAGCAAAAACAGTTGCAACCCCGACTTCCGCCGAGCATCCCAAGCTGGCCCTCACAGGCCACGGCTTCGCCGCTGAGGAGCCGGAACGCCATAGCTTTCTAAGAGTTTAGGGTTTTGGGTTTATGTTTAGGGTTTAGGGTTTGTGTAAGGACTTCGGTCGGATTTGTTTTAGGGTTTTTAAGGGTGTCGTAGGCTGTCTACGGAGAGTTAGAAGGGTTTAGGGTTTAGGGTGATAAGGGTTTTGCAAGAATCTGTTGGGTTTTAGGGGCTGGGGCTTAGAGTTTGGTGCTGTTGATACGGATGTCTGTAAGGATTTTGATAAGCATGTCAAGAGATAGCGGCTTTCAGTTTTTGCGGGCTGAAGGCTTTCTCGGTGCAGGGTCTTAGGTTTTCGGGGTTAAAGGTTTCAGGCATTGAGCTCAACTGCTAAAGGCTTAAAGGGTTTGAGTTCGACAGCTTGGGCTCACTGCGCAGGTTTAGGATTAAAGGGCTTCTGGTCTAGTGTTTTGGATGCAGGAAGCTAGGGTGTTGCAATGCTTCCAATTTCGTGTGCTACGTCTGCTGCTTGGGTCATTGGTCTCGATAGCCGGCCACTTTGAGTTGCGGATTAAGCACCGACCATGCAGCCATAAAGTGAAACCCAGAAAGACTGATCAAGCCCGGGCTCGGGGTTTTCGAGGTGAGACGTTGGTTTGTTGGAGCGAGGGATGTGCTTCAAGTTTGCGATTCATAATTTAGGGCTTAGGGCCCAAACGACCCAAGGAACGCCCAAATTTCAGTCGGGGCCCCAGGATACTTTGGATGTGCTGCGGATTTGGGGGTGGGGCAACAACACGCTCAACGGTGAGACCCCCAAATTCAATCCATCATTAAACCCAGCATCTCAGCTTGCAGGCACGCGACGTTGCTTTAAGATCAAAGCTCCCTAGCTGGAACCCTAAACCCTGAACCCTAAACGGCGCTAAACCCTGAACCACCAGAGGACTGTGAGCCTAATCCTCGAATGCTTCAACATGAGTGAGCTCTGCCCCGGACCGGTTTTGAGACCAAAACACGAAATCGTCAAAACCTACAATTCGAAACCCTCAAACCCTAAAAGCCACAACCCACAGCTTAACAATCCTAAACCTCTGAAGGAGCTGGAAAGTTCGTCCGCATCTCTGTCCCTCAAGTCGTCACGCCTGATCCCCAGAATCTAATGGTTCGGAGCTTGGGGTCTAGGGTTCACGATTTAGTGTTTTTGAACTTATGCCCACATCTTGCTCCTATGTTTTACTTAACTTGAGACTCCAGGGCTTCTCAGACATTAGTGTTTTGGAAATATACCTAACCGTAAACCCAACCATTCATTCAAGGACTCTCATAGAATCCTCCAGAAGGCCTGCCGATGCAGCCTTAAACGCTGAACCCTAAACCCAAAAACCCTAAACCCTAAACCCAACGGTAGGGTTTAGGGTTTAGGGTTTAGGTTCCCTGAAAACTGGACCCTAACACCTAAAACAAAAAAAAACTCAGGCACTTGCGAAGCGCTGCTTCTCGTGCACTGCGTGGCAGCCAAAGTTCTTCCCGATGGTGACATGCCAGTACCTCAAGGGCTTAGACAGCTTATGGCTTAGACCTTACCTTGGCCAAGATCGTCTTTTGGGATGATGACGTAGAGCCCAGGGCTTGGGGTTTGGGGTTGAGGGTTTAGGGCTGAATGCTTTCTATTGACAACCCTGTAAAAAAAAACGGGCTTCGGGCTCCCTGGCTAGGGAAAGGGGAAGGGCTTTCGGGTTTAGGAATTCCTGGAGCTCACCCTTCAGAGCTTTGGGCATAGGGACACGCTGGAGGGTCCTGGTACAACAACACGGGACAATGAGGGGATGTTGTTGCTAACTTTTTCGGAACCTAAACCCTTCAAGTATCCCTTCAAGGATCCTCCGGGAAGCCGCTATAGAAGATGCTTTCGTCTCAACCCCAAAGCCCGATCCGAAATCCTCTGCGGGATCGAAAAATCCAGAATCTTAGAACCCTGATTCAGGGTTTGAGGGTTAAGGGTTCAAGTGCTCTGCTTTAGGATCCCGGGCTTGTGGTCTTGGACCGGGCCGTTTGCAGGCAAACTTGCCCCATTGCATAATCCCTAAACCCTAAACCCTAAACCCTCAACCCTAAGCCCTAAACCCTAAACCCTAAGCCCTAAACCCTGCCCTAAACCCTCAACCCTAAGCCCTAGACCCTAAACCCTTCCCACTGATTCAACGTGGAGCTTCTAGGCCCCTGATCCTTCACGCAACTACAAACCATCCGCACACAGCAAAACGATCCCACGGGATTGAATCCAAAAAACACTATCAACATCAGGGACTACATGGGGCTGCTGGCATTCATGATTCAGGCCCTTGTATAGGTCCTTATATAAGACTCAGAACTCCCCCAAAATCAAATCAACTCCACCGGAATTCCCTGGTAGCCGGGTGGCGGCTTGTGATTTTCATCCAGGTGCTGCTTGATCTTCTGGGCAATTTTCGTCCCTTCCGGGTCGACGCAGTTAGGCGTACAGACTAGCTCTTCCAAGGGCTCGGAGTCTAGGGTCTGGGGTGCATAGCATAGCCAAACAATGCTTATAGTTATAGTGGCAACTTAAACTGACTTGCCAATAAACTCAGATGAAAAAACGGGGGACTAGGGTTTTGACGGCGTTGAGTGGCAAGTGTATACACATGGATGTATGGATGTATGTAATGTATGTGTGTATGTAAGTATGTATGTATGTATGTATGTATGTATGTATGTATGCATGTATGTATGTATGTATGAATGTATGGATGGATGGATGGACGGATGGATGGATGGATGGATGGATATATGCATGTATGTATGTCTACATATACAGATACATATACATATACATATACAGATACATACATACATACATACATACATACATACATACATGCATGCATGCATACATACATACATACATACATAGATACATACAGATACATACAGATACATACAGATACATACAGATACATACAGATACATACAGATACATACATGCATGCATATCTGTATATACATATGAAACCGAAACACCAATGCAGTGCTTAAGCCGAGCGCCGGAAACTGATTGAGAAACTCCTGGTTCTACGTCGCGAGTAAGAAACACAGATCCATACTGAGAACACAAAATCAAGAAAGATAATAGTGTAGTATAGTAGCGTATAGTATAGTAGAGTGAAGTGTATAGTATGGTAGCGTATAGTATAGTCTATTATATTATTTAAACGTCCCCCCATCCCCCCAGCCCAGGCAGCCCAGCCGCCCCCGGCCCAGACAGCCCCAGCAGCTAGCAGCCCGCCAGCCCCAGCCCACCAGGCCAGCCCAGTCCAGCCCACCCCGTCGCCAGCTCCTAAAACCAACAGCAAAACACAAAACTGTCGCAAAACCCGGACCCAGCCCAGCCCAGCCCAGCCCGGCCCAGCCCGTTCCCAAAAATCAAACATGAAAAGCAAAAATAAAACCGGCTAAACACCCCGGACCCAAACCCGATACCATTTCTATGAACCCTGAAACCCTAAACCCTAAACCCCAAACTCCTAAACCCCGAAACCCTAAACCCTCAAACCCTAAACTCTATCCCCGAACTCCTAAACACCCAAACTCCTAAACCCCCAAACTCCTAAACCCCGAAACCCCGAAAAACCCCGAAAAACCCCGAAAACCCCCGAAACCCTGAAACCCTGCAACCCTGAAACCCGAGATCCTAAGCCCGAGAGCTGGGGAGCTAACTACGGCGTCAAGGTTTTGAGGCGCAGGGGGTTGGGGGGAGGGTCGGGGGTGTTGTTACCCAGAGAACCCAATATCCCTTAATTAAGGAGTATACCTTAAATTATAGGGCCCTGAATACTATGGTTTAAGGTATATTCCTTAATTAAGGGGTATTGGGTTCTCTGGGTAGATTTAGGGTGAGCCAAGCCTTCCCGCTCTTGCTTTCCGAACTCTTCCAGGGCCGACTGGGAGAATTTCACCTTGAGGTCATAGGCAGGTGGAACACAGGTATTACAGGGGCCTTAAGAATCACAAGAGGGCTTTAGGCTTGCAGTCGGGCTTCTTCGTCAAAAGATAATACAACAACTATATAGGGACGATCAGGATATACATTGCTAATTATGTAGGCTTCAATGGTAGGAATAAACCATGAAAGCAGCCGTGTACAGGTTCAGGCTTGGCGGTTTCTGGTGTGGATGCACCCAGTATACACACACACATGTGTATATGAAGATAAATACAGGAAGTCTGGGTTCACGGTCAACTCGACAATGGGCATAAAGCTCATCGACAGACGGCTTTTTGATTCATGGCTACCACCACTACAAGTGTCACGATTCTCATTCGGGCTTGGCACCAACATTGGCAGTTCGCTTTGGACGGCACCTCTTGTGTACGAGGTCGCCACTTTCATCAACTTCCGCAGCGACATGTCTTCAACATGATCCTCCTTAACGCCCAAAGGGCCCTAAACCTTAACACCCCAAACCCCAAACCCCAAACCCTAAACCCTAAATCCTAAGCCCTAAATCCTAAACCCGAAACCCCAAAACCGAAACCCTAATTACAACATCATGCCACGCACTAAATCCAGAACCTGACCCTGGCCATCACACGGCAAAACATACACAAACTGAAAAGAAAAAATGCTGGGGACGTGAGGACTGTATCACTGCCCATTTCGGTCGGAAGCTTCTGGTACTGTAAGGGCCTTTACAATTAGAACCGGGGGTTTCGGGCTCCTTAATACTATAAACATAATAAGGGGCCTTTAGGGTTTAGGGTTTAGGGTTTAGGGTTTAGGGTTTAGGGTTTAGGGTTTAGGGTTTAGGGTTTATGGAATAAGATTTGTAATTCTTGAGGCTTCTATATTACAGATCTAGAAGAAGTCTGAGGGAAGCCACAAGGCGCCACCAGCATCACGGAATCCTCCACCCCGACGCCCAAACCCCTGAAATCGGAGCTCAAGCAACCAGAATAGGGTTTGGTGGTATACGGTTTAGGGTTTAGGGTTTAGGTTTTAGGGTTTAGGGTCTGGTGGTATACTTTAGTCCTAGTA